AATTCCCGGTAGACCTCTTTGCCACTTAATGACATCGTTTTGCTTAAGGTGAATTGATTAAACGACTAAGATACGCCGATGACACCAAATTGATGGCAAGCAGATAAAAAAAAATCTGTAGGAAGTTGTATACAATATAGCAAAGAAAAGCAGGAACAAAGGACTACCTATCAATTGTAAGAAGAAAAAAGTGTGGTCATCAGTAAGAGAGATAGACAATGTTGCGTGCTGCAAAAAGCGTCAACCTCGAGCAAGTACAGATATTTAACCAACTAGGAAGTGGTACGGAAATCCGAAGGAATACTGAAAAAGCGGCAATTTTCTTTTAAAATATAAACAAAGTATTAAAAATCAGGAAAATTTTCTTTGAAAAGTAACATTGCTAAATTGTTATGCAATATCGGTTCTCCTGTTTGATCGTGAATGCCGAACAATTTCATCACAAATGAAAATGTAATACGCGACAGGAGAGATGTAGTTTTACAGAAGGATGCTGAGAATGCCATGTACGGGACTAAGCGAACTTCACACACCGACAATTATTTTTAATCCACATTTGATAAAGAAACAAATAAAACTGGGGTTCTGTTAATTCAAATTAATGATGATTGAGAATTGATTCCGAGCAACGCTTTTGCGTAACCCATCTTCAACTCTGAGCATTGCGGATGTGGCCTTTTTAGCTTGCTATTGTCTTACATTCACTTGCGTCGATGGGGCAATGTTCCGCGTCATTTTCAGTAGTTCCATATATGCATATGATGAATGACTCTGTGTGGCGTTTTTGGTGATTTTTGTGACCTACCTTACTTAAACAGACGCGACCATATTCATTAGACGTAATATCAGATTCTCTGGCAACATTTTCAAGGAAATTAACATGAAGAACTTTACGAACATCTCTTCTTGATTTGTTCTTTGCGCCAGTCGATTCTGTTCAAAATCTCTCTTAACATTGATGATTGGTTTCCCATGAAGGATATACAGCTAGGGTTATTCGAACTGACACCGGCTTAAAATTAAACGTTGTCCGTAAATAGGAAAATAAAAATGTCTCATAAATTCTTACTTCAAATCAATAAGAAAACATTTAGAAAAAATACTGGGATAATTTTATTTAAGATCTGTTAGAAGTTGCCGCTCGAAATATCTAGTCGAAGAAAAATTAGCGCAAATGCTAGGGTATGAGGACCTCCTCGGTAGGCCTAGTGTAGAAATAAATACAATATGGGAGCCGTTAATTAAGAAAGAAAGATAAATGGCAGCATGCCTTCAGCAGCAGTAACTGTAGTAAAAATCAAAACACGGGCAGTAGCAGCAGTGACCTAATCAGCAGCAGCTGCAAAGTTTAAAGCTTCAAATTTAATACATCAAACTGTTTATGAATTTAGTTAAATAGTGATTGTTAGTTCAATTTCTGTGTCGGGCAGTGTCTACATGCAACTCACTGGAAACGGACAGCAATAATTGAACTGTGATATCGCAGATGTTCATATTTTCTTATTTTTGTTCAAGATTTCGTTTGGTTTGATTTGGTTTAGTTTACGGTATGTCAACCTTAATGGGTTATTTAATGCCGACACGATTTTTATTGATGGTAATATTTTTTAAAAGTATTTTTAATAATATTTTTTCTAAAAATGTATTGTTGCTAATATTTTTTCAAAAGAAGTATTGCTGGTAATATTTTCTTCAAAATGTATTGCTGGTAATAATTTTTTGCAAAAAAAAAGTTTTGCCGGTATTAAAACCTATTTTTATACCTTTTGACACTAGTTTGGGGATTAATTATTTGCTCATAGTTGGGACAGGTGCAACGACCCCAAGTAGTCGATAACACCAGCAATTAACAGGTTGTTCCACGCTCTTTAAAGCCTCCTGATTAGAGGTCTTGCTGTTGGACATAGTTTATCGTCTTACCCAGGACGCGGATGTAGTTTATCGCACATACCCAGGATGTTTTTTTTAAACTTTCAATTTTGCACTCATTATCAAAAACTGATGTGGTGTCTGTATGATAATTAGAATTCTTTTGTCTGCTTCCAGGTATTCTTTTGGATGCTGGATGTTTGAAAAGCATTCATATACGCACGCTATATCGAAGACATATTCATAATAGCAAACAACTTAGAATATATAAAAAAAACCCTGAAAGAAACTGAGAATAACTCTGTCTTACACTCGACTTGTGAACTTAATAATTACAATAGAATCCCTTTCCTTAAAGTATTAGTCGTTAATTTTAACACCTCTCTTTACAAAAACTCCCACTAGAAGAACCTCGTGTTTACTTAATTACAAAAGTGAATGTCTTCACAGAAGCAAAGCCGCTGTGATAAAAACATTATTTGCCGAGCCAAAGTAATCTCTTCTTCGGACATATTTTATACATAAAGGGAATTAACATTAACCAAACCCTAGCCATCGTTAAATTCCCAAATCAAATTGCCGACGAACAAATAAAATCAACCTTAACAAGATTTAGAAAAAATGTGGCCAAACCCCGTAGCGACTCAAACAAAAATGAACTCACCATTAAGTTATTCTATCGTTACCGAATTCACCCTAATTATAAACAGGATGATAAAGCAATTAAAAACATAATTCACTGTTTACTCCATGATCCTAACAAACAACGAAGATTTATAATCTATTATAAAAAGTTTAAAACCTCTTACTTGATTATTACCAACAACATAGGGTCTCATGAATCAGCCCTATATAAAAAAATAATGTTGTCTATGAATTCTTATGTCACACTAATAATATGAAAACATAATTAAATAATTACATTGGGCATACGTCGACCACATCCTCTCGTAGACTGACCTGTCACATGTGAAACTATCCATACAACAAATCGACTAGCTCATCATGAACGACTAACATGTAACTATCAGCATAAGACAAATACTAGTAAACACCAATATACTCTACAGCATCCAATGTAAGGAAAGACTTAAAACCCTAGAAACTATTATCATAAAAAAAAACTGCGCACATTAAACATTCACCGCAGGAGACTGTATATTGAAGTGCATATGATACTTTTAATGGGTGCATGTATTATATAAGCATTATAAAAATAATTAATTAATTAATTAATAAAATTATATAAAATAAATAGTTAAATAAATGGCATAAATCCTGACGTCACGCTAGACCATTTCAAACGTCTAGCTTCCAAAAGAATACCAGGATACTAACCCAGGAATCGTAATTTCCACACAGAAACCTCGCTGGTTTTTGATAAGACTTCAAAATTGAAACGAACTTGAACGAAAATATGAACTTCAGGCAGTTGATCCACAACTTTGAGCACAATACGCAACATCTTATTCAAAAATTGGAAAAAAAATATAGCAGAAAATTAAACAGAGATGATATCGATACTTTTTAATCAGTTTTACTAGGATGAATACTTGCTTATATATATATATATATATATATATATATATATATATAAATATATTTTTAAATATATATATTATATATTCATCTTATTTATAAATATATATATATATATATATATATATATATATATATATATATATATATATAGATAGATAGATAGATAGATAGATAGATAGATATACTTTGGATATATTAATTTGTGGTACAAGAGCGAAGGGGAAAAGGCTGGTCAACACTGTCTGTGCTAAACCCAGCTAATCCGGCTCTCGAAACATTCAGTTTAACATTTTTTCCAATCACTAGAAGAACCCATCCTCCGCCATCTAATACAATATGTGCCACAATACCACAATAACACATTTTCGTAGGGATTCTAATAAAACACCCAGGATGTTAATATTTGAGAAATGTTATTAAAGATCTGAGATCCGAAGAATTAGTGTGATAGCCAAAGATGTATTCCAAAAACTAAGCAGAGTATTAAGCAATAGAAAATATTCGTTAGAAACAAAGGAAAGTGTATTGAACTCTTACCTGATATCTGTACTCCTGTATGCCAATGAGTGATGGACAATCTTCTCAGAGATGAAGAAGTTGAAGCAACAGAAATGTGGCTCTACAGTCTGGGCGGAATGTTTCAGCAACAATGAGGTTTTTGGAAAAATGGAAACGCAAAGGACACTTATAAAGAACAAACAGGTGAATTTTCTGGGACACGTAATGAGGAAGGAGGGCTTGAAAAATCTGAAACTCACAGGACAGATTGTGGAAAAGAGAGACACACGAAAGTCGCTCGTAACATGTGCTTGAGTAAATGGATGGTAGAACAGGGTTTGGAAAAAATAGCAAAAAAATATTTATTAAGAGCTTAAAAGATGTGAAGAACCATAATCGCTTCAAAAAAGATGAAACTTTAATAAAATTGTAACACGTTGGCTAGATAAACTTTTCCGATTTTTCTTAATCTTATCTCATATATAAATATTGGGTTTAGCATTAATATGTTAAAAACAATATGAAAATAGAAAGTCCTAAGAGAAGACTGCTTTTCTTTCTGTTGGGTTGTGCTCAAACAAAACGAATTGGAATGAAAATATTGCACTCACACTTAACGCTAGCCATTGAACAAAAACTCTGAAAGCGTGGACAGAGTAGGTATTTCAAACAAATTGACAGGGACATTTCGTAAATTCCCCCGGCAATGAACATATTACATTATTCAATAAACCTACTGTTCAGTTGCTGATTTTTGAAGATGTCTCATTTGCACAACGGACAATTGGATCGGGCTCGCCTTTCAAGTAACGTTAACAAAATAATATAATTATCAAAGAGCCATTAAAACCAGTTTGGCCAACAGATCGACTCCTGCAGCCAACCAACGATAGAGACGTAACTGGATAGGCACCAACTGGCCTGAACCTGCGATCGGATACAGTAAAAAGAGAAGACTGAAAAATCCCTTCGCGAGTTACGCCCGAAGGAACCTGAACATTTTAGGAATGGCGATCGGATCCTCCTCACTCTGAATTTGATACTTGCTCAGTCTTACATTTTTTTCTTTTCTTTTTTTTTTTTTTTTGTCTTTAACTATAGTTTTGTCCACTCACAAAGGAATATATGTTCAAGGATATCTTGGGCGGAGCAGTGTTTCCCTGACAGAGTGGTGAGGGGGGGATCTCCAGAACGAAAGGCGGTTTTGATGACGTGGCTAATAGTTCGCTGCATATCCCAAGAGATTTAGGGGTTTGAACGATGACAAAGCAAAATGAAAAGATCAAAATAAATAAAGAGTTAAGGTAGTGATTTGGAGAAGAGGAATGTTTATGAGAAGAAAGAAAGAAAGAAAGAAAGAAAGAAAGAAAGAAAGAAAGAAAGAAAGAAAGAAAGAAAGAAAGAAAGAAAGAAAGAAAGTGATAAGAATCAAGAAAGAAAGAAAGAAAGAAAGAAAGAAAGAAAGTGATAAGAATCAAGAAAGAAAGAAAAAGAAAGAAAGAAAGAAAGAAAGAAAGAAAGAAAGAAGTGATAAGAATCAAGAAAGAAAGAAAGAAAGAAAGAAAGAAAGAAAAGAAAGAAAAGTGAAAGAAAGAAAGAAAGAAAGAAAGAAAGAAAAAGAAAGAAAGAAAGAAAGAAAGTGATAAGAATCCAGAAAGAAAGAAAGAAAGAAAGAAAGAAAGAAAGAAAGAAAGAAAGAAAGAAAGAAAGAAAGAAAGAAAGTGATAAGAATCCAGAAAGAAAGAAACCCTGGCAGAAAGAAAGAAAGAAGTGATAAGAAAGAAAGAAAGAAAGAAAGAAAGAAAGAAAGAAGTGATAAGAAAGAAAGAAAGAAAGAAAGAAAGTGATAAGAATCCAGAAAGAAAGAAACCAGAAAAAGAAAGAAAGAAAGAAAGAAAGAAAGAAAGAAAGAAAGAAAGAAAGAAAGACAGAAAGTGATAAGAATCCAGAAAGAAAGAAAGAAAGAAAGAATACATTACTAGAAGGCAGGAAAGAATATCTGTTCACTGTTCATCAGAAAATGAGAAAAGGTGAAGCAAGATAGAGAGACAGGTAAAAAAGAATAAAAGAGGATTGGCTCAAATAATGAAGAAAAAAGAAACAAATAGATAGAAAGAAAAAGAAAGATTAAATGTGAGAAGGCATGGTGGCGTAATGGATAGCGGTTTGGATTGAGGTATCGGCGAGCCGAGTTCGAATTCTAGTCGAATCCATTACATTCACTCTCGAGACTTTTCTTGTGTTATTACGTACTCTTGGGAAAAGTTCTCCCACCACATGGACAGACAGGATTCTATAGCCTTCATGGTAACTGCTACCTGCCTACTGCTTTCTACCGCAGAAAGAAATGGCAACCTACTGCGGGAGAAAAAATCTTTTTCCTCAGTCTTTCGATACATGATCGCATAGCACATAACAAACTGAAAACAAAAAAAAAACTGTAAAGAGAGCGAGAATAAGAAATTAATAAAAAGTGATAAAGTCATAGAGGGACATTTTATGTGGAACTCAGAGTACAACAAGAATATATATAAGAAATCGAAAGCCTTCAGAGAACACTCCCCTCCTCACCAAAGTCATTCACACTAATGATGTATAACTGATCTCAAATTATTCTGTTCCAAATGCTTCTTAATAATTATTAGTAAGTAAATAAATCTTCTAATAGTTATCGTGATGCTGACATACAGTTATTTCACTATATTTCTATGATCATGCTGTCACTTTACGGGAACTTTTCTTGTGTCATTACGTACCAAAATTCCTTCTAAAAACTCTATAACTACAAAACGTTAACAAATTTGGAAATAATTCCTGACCAATTTCCCCTTATCCACTGGCCTAACGTTCCCTAATCTAACTTGTACCCTAGCCTAACTGTAAATTGATGAGACCTCGACGCCAATCCAGCACTGCGCTTAAATTCAAAAAGTTTAAGTACCTTAACGAAGAGTTCCGAAAAATTGCCATGAAAGTATTTATTAAAAAAGCACAGGGAAATTGACTGAAGCAGAAACGCCAGATCAGGGCCAATAATATTGCTGATTGTTTTTTTGATTTTATCAAGGAGTTCAATGGAAATCACATGAGCACCAGACCACATGAATGAATCGTAGAAAAATATATGGAGGATAAATTCCGGAGAGAAAAACCGTCTCGTGAACCAAATTTCTTCTCAGCTGACATAGCAATAGATTCAATATAGTCTTTCCACTTTATGTCAGCCGAGAACGTTAGTCCGAGTAGAAACAACGAGTCACTTTATTGGAGGTTAGCATCAGCCATACTGGTGGAAAGTAGACAGGGGTGTCTAGGATCATCGGGTTATTTAAACCCGTTAGGACATTACTCATTATTTGCCGCAATACGTCATTTGAAAATTAAGTTTACCAAGCCGTCTGTCCTCATAATGTGTCCCAGAAATTTCAAATGTCTTTTTTCCGGTTTGAAGTATAAGTAACTTTTAAATTCCTATATTCTTTAAATTCCCCATTGCCCAGACCATAGGAAACTCAGCCTCCGCCTGTATTACCGCATCTCTGCTACATTTCCACCCCAATCAAAGCAGTAACGGCCCTTAAGGTGCAAGGGGTTACTGAGGGTGAAGAAAAAGAAAAAGAAGAACAGGACTCAAGGAGACAGGAGATGATTAACATCGCATTTGCATTTTTGAAGATCTTAGTTAACAGGAAAGCAGGGAGCCGGAAGAGGGCTGTACAGATAAGGTGCGCGAGAGAAGACGCCCTCCCGTACAGTGGAAATATTACTGTGATGAGAAAGTGAGTGAGGTTGAGATGCCAGGTCAGGACAGATAACGTTACAGATTTTTCTTTGGATTTTATCAAGAAGCAGATGTGGCAGCAAATATTCGATGCATCGACAAATGGTAGACATGTAATGATGCAAGTTAAATTCTGTCAACAAAAATTGTCTAGCACGATATAGATTCGTGGGGAGGGGGCCGCCTGCATTAATTCAAAATGATCTAGAGGAGTGGTCATTCACGACAATTCTCATCATGCTGCTTCATAAGAAGGGTTGAATTAAATCAAAGAAACATTCAAACACGACATAAACCTTGAACTTGAGAAGACAACAATGCCAAACCTTGTCAAAGACCTTTGAAATATCTAACACAAAAGTGAAAGCTTCGCCATTTTTATCAGAAGCTTGAAAGAGATTTTCAGTTAAAACTGTCAACCCACTGGTGGTTGAATAGAAAAGCAGGAGCCATATTTCTTGTCTGTCAGAAAACTCATCAGAATAAGTTGCTTAACGAATTTCGAGTTGATTAGAGCGTCTAGTAATTTTCCAAAGACAGGTTGGATGGTCGATTTTGTTTAGCGGCATATCAACACCTCTATGGGTTATTTAATGCCGGAATCTAAATATTTTGTATGTCTTCATCTACAGAAAAATAGGTCTTGTTAGTTGGTTGATTTTGCTTAGCGGCATATCAAAACCTCTATGGGTTATTTAATGCCGGAATCTAAATATTTTGTATGTCTTCATCTACAGAAAAATAGGTCTTGTTAGTTGGTTGATTTTGCTTAGCGGCATATCAAAACCTCTATGGGTTATTTAATGCCGGAATCTAAATATTTTGTATGTCTTCATCTACAGAAAAAAGGTCTTGTTAGGTTTGTTAGTTGGTTGAATCTAAATTTTGTCTTAGTTGGGCATATCAACACCTCTATGGGTTATTTAATGCCGGAATCTAAATATTTTGTATGTCTTCATCTACAGAAAAATAGGTCTTGTTAGTTGGTTGATTTTGCTTAGCGGCATATCAACACCTCTATGGGTTATTTAATGCCGGAATCTAAATATTTTGTATGTCTTCATCTACAGAAAAATAGGTCTTGTTAGTTGGTTGATTTTGCTTAGCGGCATATCAAAACCTCTATGGGTTATTTAATGCCGGAATCTAAATATTTTGTATGTCTTGATCTACAGATAAATAGGTATTGTTGGTTGGTTGTTTTTGTTAGCGGCATATCAAAATCTACGGATTTTGTAATACCGGAATGTAAATATTTTGAACGCAATTGTATGCCTTTTACTACAGATACGTTGTATACAATTTTACACTTATTATAGTATACTTTTTCAGATATATAATTTCTTGATAATATGTACTGTTGGCAACTTTTTATTTAAATGTACTGCTGACAATTTCACTATTGTTTGTATATCTACTGCAGAAATAACCTGTTGATCTCTTTTGGGTGTCACTATTTGTCCATTGTTCGGACTCTAATATATGCTACCACCACTGCTCAGGGTGCAACTAGGAACAGCAGAAGTTAAGAGGTGGTTCCACGCTCCTGAATCAGATGCAGTTTATCGTCATACCCAGTACGGGCCAAAGAGAAGTAGAAGACTAATCTTTCGATTGCCCAAGCATCAGCCACTTCACCAAATTTCTTAACAGCAGGAACTACCGAAGTGCGTTCCATACAATATGGAAAATAATAGGAATTCATCTATAGCTTGGAGAAGACAGGAACCAATTCAGGTTCACATTTCCTAAGGACCAGTATAGGGATACCATCGAGTCTTCATGCACTGTGGTAACCAATTTTGAAAATGAGGGCGGAAACCATGGTCAGTGTTATCAGCATCCGTCTATGAAACTACACGTCTGTCAATTCAAATGACACTTTCATCTGTGAGGAAACTGTCCAACATTCATTGCCATATGTTGGGATTGGTGCAATAAAAAGAAAATGATCGTTACCCTAATTGTTATTTTCTTTTAACTAACGCTTTCATTTTACATGACGCGGAAAATGTATATTGAATCAACTACTAAATCTGCACCTATATCACGCTAGAAACAATTTCTCTCCAGAATCTATTAAATATTTACAAGTCTGCCATTCGTTCTTGCTTTGAATGTTGCTACCACGTCTTGTCCGGTGTTCCTGCTGTTTACTTAGAGATTATTGAAAAAATGCAAAGAAGAAAATGCAAATCCTGACCTGGCATCTCGGTTTCAGTCTCTTTCCAACGTAGCTTCCCTGTGTCTTTTCTATAAATATATTTATGGTAACTGTTTTGATGAAATTTCATCTATTGTAAATAGAATTTAAGCGCAGTTATAGCTTGGCAGCAAGATCTCATCATTTTACTGTCGAAATAGTTAAATGTAGCTCTAAGTACAATGCTAACAGTTTTTTTCTATCATACTCCATCTTTGTGGAACTCTCTTTCAGCCTTTTACTTCCCAGTTAAGTGTGATTTTCAAAAATTTAACTTCAATGTTAATCGTTTTCCTGTCTTCTTAATTCTTATTTCTTTATTGTCCTCTCTCCTTAATAGTAGTTTTTCTCATATTCTCTAACACTCAGTAACCCCTTTGCGTCCTAGTAGCTTTATTGCTTTTCTCCTTCATAATTTAAATGCAATGTCAATCATTATCTTCCGTCTTCTAAATTCTTGTTCTTTTATTGTCCTCTCTCCTTAATAGTAGTTTTTCTCATATTCTCTAACACTCAGTAACCCCTTTGCGTCCTAGTGGCTTTATTGCCTTTCCACTTCATAATTTAAATGCAATGTCAATCATTATCTTCCGTCTTCTAAATTCTTGTTCTTTTATTGTCCTCTCTCCTTAATAGTAGTTTTTCTCATATTCTCTAACACTCAGTCATCGCCTTGCGTCCTAGTGGCTTTATTGCCTTTCCACTTCATAATTTAAATGCAATGTCAATCATTATCTTCCGTCTTCTAAATTCTTGTTCTTTTATTGTCCTCTCTCCTTAATAGTAGTTTTTCTCATATTCTCTAACACTCAGTAACCCCTTTGCGTCCTAGTGGCTTTATTGCCTTTCCACTTCATAATTTAAATGCAATGTCAATCATTATCTTCCGTCTTCTAAATTCTTGTTCTTTATTGTCCTCTCCTTAATAGTAGTTTTTCTCATATTCTCTAACACTCAGTAACCCCTTTGCGTCCTAGTATTTTTTTATTGCC